TGTCGCATGCTGAAAGCACTTGTACTGCAGAGCGCAAGCTGCGAAACCTGCAGGCTGAGAAGCACCGCAGGAACTCGCATGCTTTCGAACACTACTGCTCGAGACCGCAGCTGGAGAGCGGCAGACCGCAGGCTGAGAAGCACCGCGGGCAGGGAGACTTGCAAAACTCAGATGTCCTGATCGTCTTGGAGGAAGTCACGCCAGTCCGGCGGCTGCCAAGAATCGATGATGCGCCTGGAGCCACCGCCCGTGCTGCCGCCGATGTCCAGGTAGTCGCCATCGGCCCTGAACAGACGGCCGTGCCCCAACGCCAGAATCGCTTGGTTGCGGATTTGAAGCAGCGCTCCGCTCTCAAACATCTGCAACACGTCCAGCTGCCTGCGCGTGAAGTTCGGCTTTGGCTGGCCAGCCTGGGCAGACAGATGGCGGGAAAGCCGCTCCCCCTCGTTGGAGCGCGCGATGGCCTCGGCCTTCTGGTGGTGCAGCCGGCGCCGCTGTTGCCGCAGAGCTTCCTCGGGAACTGCTGCATCACGGCCCTCACTGTGATCAGCTTGCAACGCTTGCGTTAGCCAATCAACGTCGAAGCGCCCTGAGAAGGCCAGCACCTCCCAGATCTGTTTGGTACCGGCCACACGTTGCAAATGGCGATGCCACCGCTTACGCTTCTGGTCTTTCACAAACTTGGCGACGCTACCCAGACCTGCACCCTTGGCCTGGCCACCTTTTCCCGCAGGCTGAGAAGCACCGTGAGAACCTTTCTTACCGCCTGGCCCTTTGTTCGGACCCTGCGGAACCGCATGGCCCCCTTGTGGCGCAGACTTGCCTTTCGCTTTTCCCTTTTCGATATCCCGTTCCTGAAGCGCACGCTGCTGCCGCGACTGCTCGTACTGGTCGCGAGCTACTCTGACCAATTCCTGGCGCTCAGGCTCCGTGAGAACGTAGCGCATGTCGTCGATGTTCTTGCTCCGCAGAAAGTCATGTCGAAGCTTAAGGACAGAGAGAATGGCTCGGCCAGTCTCCTCCTGAGACGCAAAGGCCGCGTCATATTCCGAGCCAGGCTGAGGAGCGCCAGCTGGATCAGTGTCCGCTGGCTCCGTGGACTTCCTCTTTTTGAAAAGCAAGAGACTGAGATGATGGAGGACTTTCGGATCGTACTCCTCGTCGTACCTGTCGTCCCAAAGCTGCCTCAGCTCCCTGTGCAAGTCGTCCGCGCGATTCTGAACGACATCCTCGACGTAGTCGGGATCACCCGGTGAAGTCGGTGAAAGCGGAGGAGTAGAACTCGGCGACCGATCCCAATGCACAGAAGACTCGGCGTCCGCCTGTACGCTGACGTCGGCGTCGGAGACGTTTTCGACGACAATCTTCCGCCTCTTGCTCTCCCCAGGCTGAATAGCACCAGGGAGAGTGAGCACAACCGCCACCGCATCGTGTGCGTCGTTGCGCATGCCACGATCCGTAAAAGACGCGCCAACGGCAATGGAGCAGAAACGGGCGACTGCTCCGCAGACCGCGACGTGGTCGCCTTTGAGGTCGGCCGGAGTGGCATGGACCTCCCAGAGCTTCTCGTCGTTCTGCTGGCGCTGGTAAGCCTCCCGCGCCTCCTGGAAAGTGAGGTTGTCGTCGCCGACTACAAGCAGAACGACTGCCTGGCTCAGATTCTCAAGAATCTTTCCCAGGCAGTCCAGGTGCAAGCGGAGATTGCGAACTGTCCGCTTTCGAGTCTGGATGGTCGGCGGTTTCTTGCCGCACACGATGTGCATGTTGGCGATCACCACGTGGAACTTGTCATGGCCTGGTTTGTTCACCTCAAAATGTGAAATAACAGCATCAATATCTCGGCCGCTAGGAGGCCTGTAAACTTTGCTGTCTTCGCACAGAGTCAGTTCCGCAGGCTGAGAAGCACCGCGGAACCCCCAGAGAGTCAAGTAGTTGTCGACCTCCGAGAAGCGAATGCCATCACCGAAAGGCTTACTGAGGATCTCTGTCACGTTGATCCCTGCTCGGCGAAAGCCTTCACGGAACGCACCGACCTCGCAGCCACAGACAATATCAGCATCAGCGGTCTCCACTATCGTGGCGCACACCCTTCCGAAGTTAGCGCAGTGAGTGGCCGCCTGCTTACCAGTCATCATGCCCTGCTCGAACACGAAATTGAACGAGGCGACCGTGAAAGACGCAGGCTGCACAGCGCCAGAACCAGGCGTCTGTCCACCTTCCTCCGCAGGCTGAGAAGCACCGCGAGGCGGCGCAGGCTGAGAAGCACCGCGAGGCGGCGACACTTCGGACGAGCCTCGCGGAGCAGAGGCTGCGGATGAACGTTGGACTTGGGGGTACGGCCAGGGGAACGCCATTGCAATCAAAACTCAGTGGACTGCAGTGAATGAATGTAGTGGCCAATTGAATGCAGAGGACTGCAGAGTCACTAGCAAGTCCTGAACCAAACACAGCTGTGGCGGAAGGAATATGAAGCGTCTGGCTATTCAAAATGTTGCCCGGCAATGGAGTTCTGGGAACTCGAAGACCAGGAAGTGGACTAGAGTTGGCTCTGGGCATCCAAAATGTAGCCGAATGGAGTTCTGGGAACTCGAAGACCACGAAGTGGCCTACAGTTGGCTCCGGGCATTCAGAATGTGGCCCGGGAATGGAGTTCTGGGAGGTCGAGAGCACGGAAGTGTGTGACTGTTTGCATCTGTTTTCTAAATGGTGCCTCGGGAATGCTTCCTGGATGTCAAGAGAGCACGAAGTGTGTGACTGTTGCATCCGGGTATTCAGAATGTGGCCTGGGAATGGAGTTCTGGAAGTCGAAGAGCACGAAGTGTGTGACTGTTGGTGAAAAACGAGCCCGGCACCCTGCCGCCCGGCAACTCCCCAACACCTGCCCGGACCCCCCTGTGGAGTGATCTGTGAGCTCTTTTGAGACCACTAGAAACCTATCAGTCTTCGCTGTTAGGTAACCTTAAGATTCAGACGAAAATCCAGTTGTCGAATTCTGCTGTTCTCGCAGTCGTAGTAGCATTCGCGATGACAGTCGCAGCGGCAACGGCAGTCGCAGTCACAGCCTCAGCCTCAGCCTGCCTCCTCCTCCTCCTGCTCTTTCTCCTGCTAATCCTCCTCCTCCTCCTCCTCCTCCTCCTCCTCCTCCTCCTCCTCCTCTTCCTCCTGCTCGTCCTCGTTCTCGTCCTCCTCGTCTTGCTCGTCCTCCTCCCCCTGGTGCTCTCTCCTCCTCCTCCTCCTCCTCCTCCTCCTCCTCCTCCTCCTCCTCCTGGTGGTCCTCGTTCTCCTCCTCCTGGTGCTCTCCCCCCACCTCCTCCTCCTCGTCCTCCTCCTCCTCCTCCTCCTCGTCCTCCTCCTCCTCTTCCTCCTCCTCCTCCTCCTCCTCCTCCTCCTCCTCCTCCTCCTCCTCCTCCCCGTCCTCCTCGTCCTCCTCGTCCTCCTCGTCCTCCTCGTCCTCCTCGTCCTCCTCGTCCTCCTCGTCCTTCTCCTGTCTCCTCCTGTCTCCTCCTGCCTCCTCCTGCCTCCTCCCTCCTCCTCCTCCTCCTCCTCCTCCCTCCTTGGTGGTCCTCCTTCTGCCTCCTCCTGGTACTCTCCCCCCCCTCCTCCTCCCTCCTCCTCGTCCTCGTCTCTCCGCCTCCTCCTCCTCCTCCTCCTCCTCCTCCCTCTTCCTCCTCCTCCTCCTCCTCCTCCTCCTCCTCCTCCTCCTCCTCCTCCTCCTCCTCCTCCTCCTCCTCCTCCTCCTCCTGGTACTCCTCCCCTCCCCTCCTCCTCCTCCTCCTCCTCCTCCTCTTCCTGGTCGTCCTCCTCCTCCTGGTCGTCCTCCTCCTCCTGCTCGTCCTCCTCCTCCTCCTGCTCGTCCTTCTTCTCCTGCTCCTCCTGCTCCTCGTCCTGCTCCTGCTCGTCCTCGTCCTCCTGGTCTTGCTCGTCCTCCTCCTCGTCGTGCTCTTGCCCCTGCTGAAAATGTGGCCCAGGAATGGGAGTTCTGGGAAGTCGAAGAGCACGAAGTTGCCTACAGTTGGCTACGGGCATTCAAAATGTGGCCCGGGAATGGAGTTCTGGGAACTCGAAGAGCACGAAGTGGCCTACAGTTGGCTCCGGGCATTCAAAATGTGGCCCGGGAATGGAGTTCTGGGAACTCGAAGAGCACGAAGTGGCCTACAGTTGGCTCCGGGCATTCAAAATGTGGCCCGGGAATGGAGTTCTGGGAACTCGAAGAGCACGAAGTGGCCTACAGTTGGCTCCGGGCATCCAAAATGTGGCCCGGGAATGGAGTTCTGGGAACTCGAAGAGCACGAAGTGTGTGACTGTTGCATCCGGTTATTCTAAATGTGGCCCGGGAATGGCGTTCGAGATCTCGAAGAGCACGAAGTGTGTGACTGTTGCATCCGGGTATTCAGAATGTGGCCTGGGAATGGAGTTCTGGGAAGTCGAAGAGCACGAAGTGTGTGACTGTTGGTGAAAAACGAGCCCGGCACCCTGCCGCCCGGCAACTCCCCAACACCTGCCCGGACCCCCCTGTGGAGTGATCTGTGAGCTCTTTTGAGACCACTAGAAACCTATCAGTCTTCGCTGTTAGGTAAAAAGGCACCACGCATACAGACTGTACAAAACATGGGCTCCTCCTGCCCCACCTCCACCTCCTGCTTCTGCTCCTCCACGGTGGGCTAGCCAAGGCTACAAGCGAACGAGGAACGGTGACAAGGTCTGCGAGAGAGTTCGCTCCACATCCGCCTCCTGCAACTCCACATCCACCTCCTGCTTCTCCTCCGCCGCTCTGTGGGGAAGTCGCTCCGCGTGCTGCTGTGGCGTACGGCTTCCCACCTGGATGAACACACAGCACAAACATGAACCGTCGGAGGTCCTCGCGGACTCCTCGGGTCGGCGCAGAGCCCCTCCCGGACGAGGGCCCGGCGCCGATCCAAGAAATCCGTACAGAAATCCACAAGTTCGTGTTCAAGCCGTTCTCGTTCGACCACAGCGGGAGGAGCCACAGCGGGAGGATCCTGAGGCGGGTTGCCCACATGCAGGATCCCAGAGTACGAGGTCTTGAAGGAGGCCACCTGGGCCGCCGCTTCGCACGGGGGCGCCGCGCAGACAAGCCGTCGCACGCCGACACGGGCAGCGCGGATGGAACCGAGCGAGAGCGAAGGCGTAAAGGAGACTGTCCCGGCGGTAAGAAGCCAGGAAGAGGACGGTGACGAAGAATAAGAAAACCAAAGGGAAGGGGCGATCTGGGCTCGGCCAGGCCCAACCTGCACAGCCCATCCATCTGGTCCTTCACCACTCGCCTGCAACACCGGCCACCATGCCCACCCTCCCTTACAGAGTACCAGACCACGTGGGCAAACTCACGAACCAAGCGTGGACTGCCTAATCATGTCTGGAGTTGCCGAATCATCTTCTTGGATAGGGAGGAAAAAACTGCATGAGCAGAAATTGTCCGAGGTGCGCGCGGATTTCCTGGATCGGCGGAGCGCGCCAGGGGCGGCGCCGCAAGGGGCGCCCAGCGCCGATCGAAGAAATGCCTACAGAACTCTGAAAGTTATGCTTACGCAGTGTCTTCTCCATGTGGCAGTTCATGGGAGCCTTCCATCTCGTCTTGCTGGTTCTCTCGAACCAAGGCTAATCGACGCTGATCGAAGGCACTCGACTCTAATCGACGCTGCATCGACGCTAGTCGACGTGGTGCTTACCATCGATTGCCAGACACTACCGCATGCTAACGGAATATACGATGAAAAGGGCAATCAAGCCTACACGGATACTGATGTGCTTTGTGCGCCAAGAGCAAGTGGGGCTCGCCCTTCAGGGGCTATTCAGCCTAAATGACAGTGCACAGAATTATCTGATGCACAGCAATCGGCGAAGCATCGCCGATGCATTGGCGATGCACCGTCGACGTCGGCGATGCATCGGCGCCGTCGGCGTGGAGCAAGTCAGGCTCGCCTCGCATCTAGCCGCATCACCGATACATCGGCGACGCGGCGCGATCCTCCAACCGCATCTACTCCGACCCCACCTGGGAGGCCTAGATCTGCCCTGCGTTACTCCTCGCAGCAGAACTTAATCTGAATTGCTGCGGGGCGTCATCTCTGGACCCCAGGTGGCCCGTGCTATGTTGTCCAGTGTTGGCGTGCTGGCCCCTGGAATTTCTGAGCCTGACCATAGCGCGTCAGGGTATGTGATCGGAGGGATTCACGTAGGAGCATAGGCGAATCTCCAGGCGACTCCCTGGTTTCCTCCTCCTCCTCCTCCCTCCTCCTCCTCCTCCTCCTCCTCCTCCCCCTCCTCCTCCTCCGCCTCCTCCTCCTCCCTCCTCCGCCTCGTCCTCCTCCTCATGCTCCTCATCAGCCTCCTCCTCCCCTCCTCCTCCTCCTCCTCCTCCTCCTCCTCCTCCTCCTCCTCCTCCTCCTCCTCCTCCTCCTCCTCCTCTCCTCCTCCTCCTCCTCCTCCTCCTCCTCCTCCTCCTCCTCCTCCTCCTCCTCCTCCTCCTCCTCCTCCTCCTCCTCCTCCTCCTCCTCCTCCCCCCCCCTCCGCACACCCTTCGAAATCTCCCGCTGCGGGAGCCACTCACGGGGGGCGTCGGGGGACGGAGGACTGGGAGAAGAGCGACGGGGGAGAGGTTTGGGCGGGCGAGAGGCCGAAGGCTGGGGACCAGGGACAGGGGGTGGGGGGCCAGAACACTCGACCGCATCCCAGATGGGCAACGCTTGGCCCCTTCAGGGGCCCTGAAGGGCCCCTTTACGGGCGGGGGGGGGCTGGCATACTCATTTGGGCGCCCGAAGTGGGTACAGAAAAAATGGGTACGATGCCAAGCAACAATTGTTGTTCAGAACCGACAGCGTCCGCGACCTCGCCGACAGCGAACCCTGTTCAGAATGAATAAGAACTGATGTTGGACTTTGTACCCATTGTTTCCGTACCCATTTCGATCGTCCCGAACTCAACCTCATCCCAGGGCCCAGGGACCGGCTTGTTGCCCTGGACAATCTCTATTGAGTTGTCGACGATGCTGGGGCACAGAATTGGCCTCAAGAGACAGAACATCGAAAAAACTGTCGCCGTGATCTCTCGCAAAGAGGGTCGGGGACTCCGAAGAGTGCGGACTGCAAAGGGTGTGGTCTGCAACCCGCACCCCTGGGGGGCGCGAGGACCTCGACTGAGTTCCCCGCCGCGCCCCGAGCTGGCACGACGAAAGAAACGTGGTGCCCCTCCTCCTCCTCCTCCTCCTCCTCCTCCTCCTCCTCCTCCTCCTCCTCCTCCTCCTCCTCCTCCTCCTCCTCCTCCTCCTCCTCCTCCTCCTCCCTGGTCGGTCGTCGAGGAGGAGGTCTGGGACCCCCCGCCCGCCCTTGGGGACACGGGACGGGGACGGGAGAGGGGCCACGACGGCGACGGTGAGGAGAAGGGCGCGAGGGCAGGGGAAGGGCGGAGGTCTGCTGGGGGGTGCAAGGGCCTAGGCTTGACGAACAAAAAAAAAAAAAACGCACCCAAACCTACAAGGAGGAGGAATGGGCAAGGGCAAGGAGATGAGGGCGCCATAGGTATGGGCGCGAGATGTCGGACCCTGGGGGAGCTCCCACTCGAGCGGGGACCCCCGTCCGACAACACACACACACACAGACCCCCCCAGAATTCCACCCGGGGAAGTCTGGGTGTCGCATGGGTGTGAATGCTAGTTGTGAACTCACGATGCATTGGGGATGGCGATCCTGGGAAGCGCCCCCGAACGTGCCCGCACAGCACCAGCCCCGGGTTGTGAGCGAGGCCAGCCGCGATTCCTCCCGCGCGGCGCTGGCGTCGCAACCAGGAAACGTGCCGAGACCTCTGGCGCCACAGAGAAACGCAACGGCGGCCTCTGCCAAGTTCGGAGCCCCCCCTCGGGCTCGAGGACCATCAGAAGGGGGCCCCCGGAGTGGGGGTGCAGGGCTCCAGGGGCCAGTGCCACGAACGAATAAAAAACCCGACGCCGGCACCGGCCGTGGCCGTGCCCCTGGTCCCGGGGTCCCAGGACCCTGGGGCCCAGGGGGTCCCGGGGGGAGGTCCCGCCTTCAGGGTCGGCGGCACGGGCCGCTATCGGCTACACGCAAGAGTGACCTTAGGCTCAGGTCGGGCATGTCCTCCTACAGGCGGATCTGGGACGAAAAACAACAAATACTCCCAAAAAATATTCGAGAGTTGTCAAAAATAGTTTTAAAAAACGTCCACCGCCTATTTTTTTACTATTTTTGAATTTTCCCCCTGTAGAGGCACATGCCCGATTTAACCTTAGGCAAGAGTGACTTTTTGTGCGCGGCTTTCGGGGACCCGCGGAGGGGCCAAACACAAGCGCGCAAGATACTACTATCGCATCGCGCTCGGCGATCGGGTGACCCCGGTGGGCCCGCCACCAAAGGTCACACTGGCGAAGGGTCACTCTAACGTGTAGTCGACGCAAGACCTTCGCACTGAAAATCACGACGTCGGACGTGTCAGTACGTGTCAGGTACAGACGCGTGACGGATGGTCTCCACATCCAGTCCCCGCACCCCTCGCCCTCCCTCCCCTCCGTGTACCCTCTGCCGACAGCACGGACAATCCAGGGCAAGGGACACACTGTCCAGGACAACGACCTCCCGTATCCAGACAGCTCTGCCTGAAAACTGCGCGCTGTAGGCGACAGACTCTGGACAAAAAGGGCGGTGAGGGCCCAGGAGGGCAAGCAAGGGGGAGGAGAAGGGGAAAGACAGGAAGAAGAGGAGGAGGAGGAGGAGGAGGAGGAGGAGGAGGAAGGGGAAGATGGAGAAGGGGATGAGGTCGCGAGAGAAAGAGGGAGGGGGAACGAGAAAGGAGGGGGAAGGGAGAAGGTCAAGGCACAGGAACAAATGGAACAGTTTTAGGAGATCGTCAGCATCATCATCCTCATCATCAGCATCATCGTCCTCCTCATCATCATCAGCATCATCATCACCAGCATCATTATCATCATCAGCATCAACATGTCATCATCAGCCTCATCATCGCCGTCACCGTCACCGTCATCGACAACATCAGCATCATCTTATCATCAGCATCATCATCTCATCACCGTCATCAGCAGCAGCATCATATCAGCATCAGCATCATCGGCATCATCAGCATCATCATCAGCAGCAGCATCGTCATCGTCATCGTCATCGTCGTCATCATCATCATCAGCAGCAGCAGCAGCATCAGCATCAGCATCAGCATCATCCGCATCCTTCTCCCCATCCTCCTCCTCCTCCTCCTCCTCCTCCTCTTCCTCCTCCTCCTCCTCATCATCATCATAATCATCATCATCATCATCATCATCACTATCACAATCACCATCACCATCACCATCAGCAGCAACATCATCATTATTCTGCTCCGCCCCTGCCTCCTTCTCCTCCTCCTCCTCCTCCTCCGCCTCCTCGTCCGCCTCCTCCTGCTCTTGGAAAGAAAAGGCCACGGTCTCAGAGCAGCCAGTCTGGAGGCCGCACCTTGCCACGGCGGTATATAGGTACCGACTCGCGGCGGAGGTTGATGAGGTGAGGGTTGCCGCCGTCGTCGGGCAGCGCCTGGATCGGGGGAGCGGGGAAAGAGACAGAAAGAGGAGAGGAGGCGGCATGTGGATCTCGCATCGCCAGAGAACGAGTCCTCCTGCCCGATGTTCCTTGCAGGGGGGAGGCTGAGAAAACACATGGGAGAGGAAAGAGACCGTGACGAGGCGAGGAAAAGCAGGAGGGGCTAATGCGCGTGCCTAAATACATATCCTATACGTATACCGGCTCATCGACATATACACAGACAGATACACATACGCATACAAATACCTGTATGCATGTATATACGTGCACATACACATACCCATAGACATTGTCGTAGTAGTCGTGGTCGTCGTCATAGTTATCGTCGTCGCGGCGGAAATCATCTTCCCTCTATTATTGGACGGGCCTCCCAGGGAATAATCCATTGTGGGCTACCCTACACGCGAGGGGATGTGTGATCATCTTCTCATGAAAATTGCAGTAGGAATCAGTGGTTGTGGCTGTAGCCGTAGGTGTAGTCGTGGTTATAATCGTGATTGCAATCGTGATTGTAGTCGTGATTGTAGTCGTAATCGTCGTCGTGGTCGTCGTCGTAATCTGAGTCGTAGTCGTAAGCGTCGTCGTCGTCGCGGCGGAGATGATCTTCCCTCTATTGGTGGGCGGGCTGGGTAATGTTGGGGAATTCTTTCTCCCAGGGAAACTGCCCCTGGGCTGCCCTGCAGCACAGAAGAAGTTTGAGCACGTTGTTAAGAGGATTTCAATTTAGATCAACACATTCTTCGCCGAAGCTGTTGCACAATCTTTGTGAGGGCCCTCGTGGGGCCTGAGCGTCAACAGTTCTTCTGAGGATGGAGCCTCTGAAGATAGAGTTTCTGATAATCGAATTTCTGAGGCAGGATTTTCCGTAAAAGCGCTCCTGATGCATAAGTAGTCGCAGTCGTCGTAGTCGTAGTCGCAGTCGTAGTCGTAGCTGTCGTCGTCGTCGTTGCGGGGCGGGTGCCGCAGAAAAGAAATTAGTTCCCCCCTATTGGTGAGACCCCAGTCCTTCAATACGGTCACCGAGAATTAGTCAGTTATCCCCTATTGCGGGGGGGGGGTAAGACCCTTTTGGTGTGTATATATACATAGAGAGATAAACATATATAAAAAAAAAAAAAAAAAAAAAAAAAAAAAAAAAAAAAAAAAAAAAAAAAAACAAAGAAAAGCGCGCTTCGCGCGCGCTTATGTCCTCGCCGCGCCCAAGGAACTCGCATCGCAAGTCGTCAAAGAGGAACGCAGGGATAATTCTGGAGCACCTTCTGGGGTGGTGGAGGGACCTGCGGCAATTAAGTCTGGGGATCCTGGCGGCGTGTCGGGGAGTCCTCTACGCTTCTTGCGCTCGTACGAACCCACCCGAGGACCGGAGGAGGAGGAGCCGAAGAAAAAAGGGAGCGGTGCCCGAGCCTGCCTCCGAGACTCTTGGGCGTCACCATCGGCTCGGGATGGGGAGAACAAGCAGGGCCGCAGGGGCAGCTCTGACGAGGCAACGCACTTTGACTGCACTCGTCCCCAGATATCCGGCGGCGGACAAACACCTCCCTTTGGTCAACCTCCCCTTAGCGAAAACGGCCTGGGACCGAAACCGACGGACCCGGACCCGCCAAAAAGGACGGCCACGACGCCCCCTCGCGAACCGAAGACGGCCAATTCCTTAATCGACGCGTCAGGGTAGGAGGCCTGTCCACCTCCGAGATGTGCCCAGCCAGCGGGGGCCGACGCCGGGTGAGCTGTGCAGGGCCTGCGGCGGGGCGCGGGCAGGGCCGCGCTCCCCCGCCCCGCCAAGGGGCCTCGAGAGCGCCGGGGGCAGAAAGGGGAGGCCGAGGTCAAGAGAGACAGCGGTGCAGGAGGAGGATCGAGGATCGAGGAGGAGGAGGAGGAGGAGGAGGAGTCAGGATGATCGAGGAGGAGTGAGTGAGGGAGGGAGGGAGAGAGGAAGAACGTCACGAGCGATCCAAGCGAGAGCAGGGAGATACAGTCGGACTTGATTGGAGAGGACACGCGAGAGGACACAAGACCCTTGCGAAGGCCACATCGCCATTGGAGTGTAAGAAGGCACGCGTCGCGAGGCACAGGACACAAGGATACCCTTGAGCTGGCAGGGTCGACCTACTAATATGGGCCGACTGTAGGGGAAGACCGTCACGAGCGATGCGAGCGAGAGCAGGCGACGAGGTCGAGCAGGACAGCGATGCAGGCAGGAGCAGGTTCCGAGGCAGGCATCGGCGGCGAGCCCAGGGGAGCGCAGGAGGGACGGGCCTTCCCAGAAGGCTCGGGAGGCCTCCGGTCTACCGAGAAGCTTCTGAGCCTTCTCCGAAGACAAAGACGGCCGCAGAAGGCCGGAAAGCTTCTGAGCAGTCCCGCCGCCTTCTGAGAATAAGCAAGCGCGTTCCACTACTCGCAAAGTCACCACTCGGCCAGGATCCGCCGTGGGGCATTTGGGGTATATTACATCGAGGCGAGCGTGGGCTTTTTCGGACGTTTGCGAGTAGGCACTTTGCGAGTAGTTGAACGCGCTCGGTGAGAAAAGGCCTGCTCCCTCTCAGTTCCCCCACGGTCGCGCCTCCGAAGGAAGGCAAGAAAGAAGAGCAGCGCGGGAGAGGCGAGGCCATGGTTTTGGACGCCCGAAATGGCTACGTAAAAAATGGGTACAATGCCCAACAACAAATGTTGTCCCAAACCAACAGCGGCCGCTGTTGGGCAGGCGGCCTTCTGTCTCAAATGGACACAGGCCGCGGCGGCGCGGACAGCGAGTCCTGTTCAAAATGAACAGGAACTGCTGTTGGGCATTGTGCGCATTTTTTCCGTCTCGATGTCGTTCGCGCTGACACTTGCAGAAGTGGCATAATTGAGGGGCTCCGCCGAAACGCCTCCTGGAGGTGCACCTGGCGTTACAGACAGCGTGAAGCATTGACATTGAGAACACATGGAGGGACAAATTTCGCGGCCCTGCCCAGAAGCCTGGCACAAAAGTACATCGTGGTGAAGGGAACCTGACAGAGTGGTAGGCTCGCTGATCACCGCTCATACTAGACAACAAGACCGAAACTAGCGCCGAACCAAGAGATCCACGCGGAGCTCCAAGGAGGTCTGTTTGTGCATCTTGCTGTGGCACCCACGCAACCCGTTGTGGCACCCGCCGTGCACAGCCTGCGTCCGCCAAATCCTCTGCGGCATCCAGCGGCAGCTCGTCTATGGGCCGCAGCATGTCCACCCGGGCCGCGGACTGCTTGTCGGCTGCACGCAAGGAGTGACCCTGGGCAAGAGTGACCTTTGGTACGTGGCCGAAGGGGGGGCCCAGTGGGGACACCACCAGGCGCGCAATCGGGCAGCCACTACTGTACGTGCGTTGGGAATTCTGTGTAATTATTTACAATACAACAACCGCCATGTTGGCCTACAAAAGGTAAACAAGACTCAAATGTGATTGGTTGGACTTTGAATGTAACATGTGCTGTTCCAGGCTTCCCACGAATATGTCTGCATGTGTATGATTGTGCGTATGTTTGATGCATGAATGCATGTCTGGTGTATGCACATGTGGGCGTAAATATGTAGATGTGCTGGCATTATGTATGTATGCATGTGTGTCCGGGAAGGCCAGGGACCAACATGTTACATTATTATGTGGCCAGGCGGCGCGAGCCTATTGGGCATTCTGTATTGGCCACAATATAAAGTCTACAAGTTGGTCTGGCATAGGAAACGAACACTTAAGGGTGATTCATTAGATGTTGAAGCTATCATGTGCTTCTCTGGGCTTCTCAAAGTTACAAAAGATCAACATGTTCGCTTGGAAACTCAAGCGGCCACTTAACACTGGTCGATTATAATTGATGTTGACAACATTGTACCAAACATGTTCTACAAAAGAAGAAACCTCGTTGCCGCTTCGATGACGCCCCGCGCGAGGTTTCGCCCCGCCGTGCTGCCCCGTTGCCACCTTGTTGCGGCCTCACTGCCGCCTCATTGCCGCCTCGTGCGCTGGGCGCACGCTTCTTACGGCTTGTGTATATACGTGAATATGCATGCACGTGTACGAGCGTATGTACACCGAAGTTAATAGAAATGCACGAGTGTACACATGTACCTAAGGCGGTGTTCATATGAATATGAATGCATGCATGTGCAAAGATGTACTTGGGCATGTATGCGTGATACATGTATGATGTATTATATATGCATGCGTGAAATATGTATGTGTGTACACGTACAAACATCCAGGTACATATAAACAAATCACGCGTAAACATATAGGTTCGTGTATTTATGTGTGCATGATCAGACAGTCGTGTACATACACGTATACGCATGCATACATGTTGACGTAGATACACAAACCGTGGGAGCCGTGCGCCCAGCGTACGAGGCGGCAATGAGGCGGTAATGATGCGGCAACGAGGTGGCAACGGGGCAGCACGGCAGGGCGAAACCTCGCACGGGGCATGATCGAGGCGGCAACGAGGTGCCTTTTCTTGAAAACGCTTGATGCATCGACGTTCACATCACCAATCGGCCAATGTTACGTAACCACTTGAGTTTCCAAGCGAACACGCCGACTTCTGTAATCTTGAGAACCCCAAAGAAACACATGATGACTTCAAAATCCAATGAATCACCGTCAAGTGTTCGTTTTCGATGCCAGACCAATGTGTAAACTTCCTGTTGTAAGCAATAGAGACAAACTCCCAACAGGCGCGCGCCGCCTGGTCCCATAATAATCAAGTATGTTGGTCCCTGGTCCTCCCGGACACACATGCATACATACATAATACCAGCACATCTACATACTTACGTTCAAATTGACATGTCTGATACATATATTCATGCATCATACGTACTCACATGCAGACACATGCATACGTATTATTGGAAAGCCTGGAACAACGCAAGCTACTTGCAAAATTAAAACCGATCACCGCTAACTACTGTTGATTAATTTACTGACCAACATGGCAACTATTCTGCTGTGAATAAAAATAAAAATAACCATAACAATAACAACTACAGAACTCCCGACGCACGACCAGTAGTAGTGGCCGCCCATGGCACCCGCCGGGACCTTTAGGATTCCTGAAGCCTCCCTAAGGAATCCTAGGTCTCAAAGAATCCCTAGGAATCCCTCGGCAATCCTAAGGAAACCTCCAGAAATCCTGAAGATTCCTTATCTACCCCTGGGATCCTTAAAGAATCCCTCGGACCAGACCCAGGAGCGGGGACCCGATCCGAAGGAATCCGTAGGGAATCTCAAGGAAACCATTGGGAACCCTAAGAAATCCGGAGGATTCCCTGTGGAATACAAGGGGGTGTCCTTGAGGAAACCCTACGAATCCACAGTAAATCCTGAAGAATCCCTGGGGGATAATACTGCCGGCCGGGACCAGACCGGCCACGCTGGGTTCCGTTAGGACGGTCTGCGGATTACTACGGATCCCTAGAAGATTCCCTAGGATTCCCTAGAAAATCCTAAGGATTCGGTAGGACTCCCTCAGGCTTCTTCCTGCTTGAGATTCATTAAAAGTTCTTTCCGGACCGGACCCGACCGCACCAGGCCCAGGACAGCCCGGGACCAGATCCTCCGAGGGAATCCCCAGGGAATCTTGAGGTTTTTTCAGATCCACAGGATTCCCTAGGGATTCCTTCGGATTTCATAATAAGAACTCCGAGGGATTCCTTAATAAGAAGATTCCCTAGGATTCCCTAAGGAATCCCCCCTGGCTTTTTGAGATTCCCTAGGGGTTACTTCGGGTCCGATCCCGCGGCACTTCCAATTTCGAAGACATTTTCGGCGCAGGATTCGAGCGAGCACAGTCTCCTGTTCGCCGCGATAGGCGACCATCGAGCTTCGGAAGCGGGCTGGGCACCCAAGGACGAGGAATCTTCCACGAGTCTCTCGAGGACCGAAACATAAAAATACACCCACACGTACAGATAAAACGCACATACGTCGCATTTACATGTGTGTACGTATGTATGTGTACATGTACGTGTGATCAGACTCACACTTGGGAAGGCGTATGTCCGTGATATGTGTATGTATATATATACACATATATATATATATGTGTGTGTGTGTCATGGGCGACCCTGTAGATGATGATGGTACTGGGCGACCCTGTATATGGGTGCCATGGGCTATGTGTGTAGGGCGCGATGATGATGGTAATGTATGGGTGCCATGGGCGACCCTGCCCTAGGTCTGGATAGAACGGTTGGGACTGGATAGAAGTTTCAGTGCTGGATAGAATTCTCAGTGCTTGAGGAGAGTCTGGCAATCCATCTGTTGAATCTCTCAATGCAGCCCAGTCCAGCGTTCTCGCTTCCTTCTCGTCCAGCCCGAACCTTCTGTCGTTTCTCTGCTTGGCCCCGAACCTGCGCCGAGCAGCCAGCCTGGGGAACTCCATCGCCTCTGCTTATCCCCGGTGCTTCAAACTCTCCTACACCTGCCCCACGAAGCATTATTTCCGCTCTCGCCCTGCTTCTCGTCGCATGCCCTGTAAACGATTGGAGACCTGCTTCAGCCTGTTCTGGATGTCTTTTATATCCACGCCGCTAGCCTCACATTGCCCAGCCTGAAGCTCTGACCGCTGCTGAAGAAGTGCACGTGGTGCTCTCCAAGTTCTCACCGTCCCTGCTCCTGCGGTGCTTGAGCAAAGTGTTGCTCAAATATATCCGCCTCCAGCAGATCGAAGCTCGTCCTTTCCTGTAGTGCCTTCGCGAGGTCCGTCAAGTACTCTGCCTTCACCGTGCCGTGTGTGACTGTATTCTACATCGCAGTCGGGTCGCATTTGGAAGGTTTGATTGGCGTCGCCTCTGTCTCTGTCGAATGGTTCTGATAGGTCAGCTCCAGCAGCAGAGGGAGGTGATCACGGGGTGAGGTGCCTCGTATAGTTTGCACTCTCGCGCCCATGTCATTCATCGCCTTTACCCTCTCAACTCGTCCCAGGTAGCACTGCGGCATGTACTGCACCCTTCTGGCCTTTATTTTTCCTGCGTGCATAGAAATTGGTTCTGGTGTAGTTGTGTGTGTGGTCGGCGCCGCCATGAACTGCTCGTCGAGAAGTGATGAATCACCTCGGCTGTTCCTCCTCGCCGTCGTTCTCTTGTGGCTGCTGGCACAAGTCCATCCCTTGGCATACTTCGCCATGCTCCGTTGGCCCGTGCGATTCCTATGCCATCGCTGGAGTCCGCGGAAAACACGGGCAGCGTTCGCTGCTGCGTCTCCTACAAGATTTGTCGCCACCATTTGAATGATATATTCTCTGTGTGTTTGTAAATGCCTAACTTGCCCTTGCCGCTCGGCAGCACGGTTTAATTCACAACGTCGTACACCACGTCCGGCACTCCCTCCTTCACTCGTACTGCTAATGCGCGCCCCCCTGCCCCCGGTGGAGAACCCCACGAGCGACGGATGCGGCGCGCCTGCATGCCCCTGCCCATTGAGATCGTGCAGCCTGCATGTCTATGTGTAAAGACCTTTTTGATAGGCGGTTTCAACCATCGATCTACCCTCCCCTCTCTGCCGCAGAACCCTTCCTGCTTAGCGGTGTCCCGTGTCTGTGCCAGCCAGCAGTATAGCATCCGCCGACGGGGCTGCCAACGCGATCTCGGCCAAGCGCACCGCCAAGGAGGCGAGGAGAGGGCTCAGGCCAATCAGCCTCAACAAGTGCGACGGTGCCGTCACGGTCTCGCTGTGTCCGTCGGAGTACCCGCCGCCTGCGGCTGCCGACGACGCGCATGGCACTCTCCTGCTGGAGTCATCGCCCCCGGCCCGTGCCTCGAATTGCTTGGGCGCGCAGAGGCCATCATCATCATCATCATCATCATCATCATCATCATCATCATCATCATCATCATCATCATCATCATCACCATCACCATCACCATCACCATCACCATCACCATCACCATCACCATAACCATAACCATAACCATAACCATAACCATCATCATCATCGTCGTCATCATCATCAGCATCAGCAGCATCATCATAATCATCATAATCATCAGCGGCAACACCATCGTAATCAGCATCATCACCATCATCAGCAGCATCCTCATTAGCATCATCATCATCATCATCATCATCATCATCATCATCATCATCATCAGCATCAGCATCATCATCATCATCATCATCATCATCATCATCATCATCATCATCATAATCGTCGTCATCATCATCATCAGTATCGGCATCGTCGATATCATCACCGCCATCATCGTCATCATGATCATCAGCATCATCGTCATCATCACCACCAACATCATCCTCCTCATCATCATCAGCATCATCATCGGCATCATCACCAATCATCATCATCATCATCATCATCATCATCATCATCATCATCATCATCAGCATCATCATCATCATCATCATCATCATCATGAGCATCAGCATCCTCATCATCCTCACCAGCATCATCATCGTCATCAGCAGCATCATCAGCATCATCATCATCATCGTCAGCAGCATCATCATCATCATCATCAGCAGCATCATCATCATCACAATCAGCATCGTCATCATCATCATCATCATTATCATCATGAGCATCGTCATCATCATCAGCAGCAGCATCATCATCATTGTCATAATCATCATCATCATCAGCAGAATCGTCATCATCATCCTAATCATCAGAATTATCATAATCATAAAGATCATCATCACCATCGTCATCGCCATCATCCTCATCAGCATCATCATCTACAGCATCATCAACATCAGCATCATCATCATATCTATCAGTATCATCATCATCAGCATCCTCATCATTACCGTCATCATCATAATCAACATAAGCATCATAAGCATCATAAGCATCATCATCATCACCATCGGCATCATCATCTTCATCATCATTTGCATCATCGTCATAAGCATCATCACCATCATCATCATGATCATCGTCGTCATCATCGTCAGATGCAACATCGTCATGATCACCATCATCATCACCAACATCATCAACATCACCATCACAATCACAATCACCAGCATCACAAGCATCATCATCATCAGCATCAGCAGCATCATCATTATCATCCTCATTATCATCATCGTCATTCCGTCGTCATCATCATCAGTATCATCATGTTCATAATCATGATCATAATCATTATCATCATAATCAACATCAACATCACCATCACTAGCATCATTATCAGCATCAGCAGCAACATCATCATCATCAGCAGCAGCAGCATCCTCATCATCATCGTCGTCGTCATCATCACATGTATCAGCATGATCATGATCATGATCAGAATCATGATCAACATCATCAGCAGCATCATCGTCGTGGTCGTCGTCGTCGTAGTCGGCGTCGTCGTCGTCGTCATCATCATCAGAATCATCATCCTCAGCTGAAGCAGCATCATCATAGTCCTCGTCTTCCTCCTCCATCTCATTCTCCTCCACATCCCCATTCAGCCTCCTCCTTACTATGGTGGTCTTGAATATTTTCGCTCACTGAACCCCTTCCCCCCAACCCTCCAACCTCGGCTGGCCGAACTCCCGCCTCCTAGGAGGACAAAAAAGTATCCATACCGCTACACCATGGACCTCTCCAGGAGCGCGTTCTTCGAGAAACGAAAAGTGACATCAACATAAACTTTCGAGGGCCCGCGCGGAACTCTTGGATCGACGCTGGAGCTCCCTGGCGGCGGGGCCGCCTCCGGCCCCGCCCATGGCGCACTCCGCGCGCCGTTGAGGGGGGTCCAGCGCCAATCCAGAAGATCCGCGCGGACCTCCGAAAATTTACGTTGTGTCATCAATTGTTCCCCGATTTCTGACCGGGATCCCGAGGCGAATCCGGACGTGGCGACGAGAGCAGGACAGCGGCATCGACATCTTTCCTCTTCCGATCCCTTTTTCGGCCGACCCCCTGGACGCCTTCTCCAGCACCGCCCCCGGCTTCTGCAGCAGGCTCACGCCCTCGGTGGCGGCGCCTGCGGGGGCAAAACGGGGCCCAAAGAGGGCCGAACGCCGCCGTCGCGCGCGCGGCGGGGACGCGCATCGCACGGCTCGGCGCGCGCGCGCGCGACTGCGCGGCCAACGTTCCAGGGCCGAGTCCTCCGCCCAACTTCGCGGGCGCAGCGTCGCGACTGTCGCTCGACGCGTCGCGAGACTCCGCAGAGGAGCTCGCACTGCCACTCGACACGAATGCTCACACGGCTCTGACTGAAGGGGCCCCGGGACACACAAACAAACAGACACGAATCCCAGGATTCCACAAATTTATTGGGTCTGCGTGTTTTTCCTCCTGGCTGACGCTGGCAAGCCTGAAAGTGCCAGCTACATTCCCGCCGCCGCCGGCCCAGGCAGGGCCTGTGCGGCGTCCTGGACTGGCGCCAGCGCCCTCCCGCCCTGGGCGCGGGAGGGCACACGCACGTGTCCAGGGCCAAAGGGAAGCCAGGCCAGGGCGGGTGTGAGCAGATGCGGGCTCCCGAAAAATGGCCGCGGCGCTAATGCTAGAGCCACATTTTGCAAACGACCCGCCCTCCATCTGTGAAACTGTTGTCAATATTTAGGCTTCAGGGTCATGAAAGGTGAGGAAGTCTCAGGCGAAACGCCCGGCCCGCCCTAAAAAATGGCCTCGGGGTGCGACAGGGAGAAGCTATTTATGAGGAAAAAGAATGGAGGAGGAGGAGGAGGAGGCAGGGAGGGGAGAGGGAGGAGGAGGAGGAGGAGAAGGAGGAGGAGGACGAGGAGGAGGAGGAGGAGGAGGAGGAGGGGGGGGAGGAGGGGGAGGAGGGGCAGGAGCTGCAACAGGAGCAAGAGGAGCAGCGCTGCTGAGCAGAGCACGCCGCTCGGCTCAAACAAATCTCATCCGGAGGTTCGGGAGAGGAGAACGCAACGATCCCTACATCGGTTTCGGTTTCGCTGTGTGTCGCCCGTGCGGCCGAGGCGAGGCTGCGCGAGGGCGATGATGATGTGTCTGCCGAGGCCAGGGCCAAGGCGGGCAACGAATGTTCGCGGTATATCTCGCGTGGGCCCGTGGGATTGTCCCGTGCTTGACGAGGTTGCCCGTGGATTGTCTTGTGGGTTGGCCCCTGGTTGTTCCGTGGTTGCCCCGTGGGTTGTCCAATCCGTGGTTGTCCCGTCCGTGGTTAACCCATGGGTTGTCCCATGGGTTGTCCCATGGGTTGTCCCGCGGATTATGGGTTGTCCCGTGGATTGTCCCGTGGTTGTACCGTGTGTTGTTCCGTGGGTTGTCCCGTCGAAATGGGAAACATCATGAAAATCAAAAAAACACATTGGAACGCACATCGGAATTCACACTGGAATGTAAAACGATATGAAAACCAAATGCGCATCGACTTTCACAATATTATGCAAATCCAATTAAAACCGACCTGAAACTCCGAATGCACAACGACCTACAAATCGGAATGCAAACCGACATGCAATTCGGAATACCATTGCCAACCGCCCGACAGGCGGAACGCCACACGACGCTTCCGGTGCGGCCCACACCACCTTGGAGTGTTTTGGCCCTGGCTGCCCTACCAGTGGGGGCAGCTGTGGCCTGCTGAAGGCGCCCGCGGCGTGGGGCCTTCTACGGCAGGTTCGCGTCGTGCCGACTTCGGCGCTGGTTCCTGACACCGCGGGGATCGTTCAACCCTGAACGATCAGCCGTTTCCCAAACGTCCGATCGTTCAGCATCGACCGATTCTGGGCCGCCGCCGGCATTCAACGTTGAACGCCAGCGCCGCGGTCGCCGCCAGTCGACGCGACGCGAACCTACCATAGATTCTGATTCGGCCGTGTTTCTCCCCGAGGCGACTCCTCGAGTAGGGGTGGCCGGGGCTCACGCCATCGCCCCGCGGGCCATGTAAGGCTCCACTGTGCTCACGAAGCTCTGGACGTCTTATCCACATCGCTCGCAGTTTCCTCCTCCTGCTCCATCCTCCTCCTTCCTCCTCCTCCTCCTGCTCCCCCTCCTCCCCCTCCTGACCCTCCTCCTGCCCCTCCTCCTTCCTCCTCGTCCTCTTTCTCCTCCTCCTCCTCCTCCTCCTCCTCCTCCTCCTCCTCCTCCTCCTCCTCGTCCCCCTCCTCCCCCTCCTCCTCCCCCTCCTCCTCCGACGACGACGACGACGACGACGACGACGACGACGACGACGACGACGACGGCGACGACGACGACGATCACGACGACGGCGACGACGACGACAGCCTGCAAGGACAGCCGCTGGCAGGCCGCCGGGCAGCCCGCCGGCAGCCGCCGCGGAGCACGTCCCGGCGGCGTCGCACTCTGCTCCTCGGCGGCCGCCTCTCCGCCCTCCCGCCGTTCACTGGCACAGCCGAGAGGGTCACTCCGACGTTGACGATAAAATCGGCGGCAAGCCCATGAGTACCTACCAGACCACCCCAACCCAACCCGAAGACCCCAATTTCGGGTTGGGGGGGGGGTACGGGTTCCATATGTGTTTTCTCAATGTTCCCCGACCCCCCCAAAGTGGAAATCGAGGGTAAGTTGAGGCCTTCGGGTTGGTTTGGGGTGGTTTGGCGGGTGGTGAGCCCAGGGGGAGAAGTCCTGCGGCCTTCGGAAAAGTTGTCTGAGCGCTCCCTGAAGACACAAGAAACATCTCGGACGGCGCGAGGGCTTCTAAAGAGCCCCGCCGCCTTCTGAGAAGGCCGTCTCCTTCTCACTTCCCCACCTCGCTCGCCGCCGATTCAAAGGAGGATCTAATTTGGGAGGGTCTGATGTGAGCTGTCATTGTAGGGTTCCGAGGGGGTCTGGGCCAAAGGGTACCCTTTCATAGCTGGCTTGGGGGGTCTAACAGGGTTGTAGACCCCTCCCTTTTGTGGCCACCTCCCTTTTATTACGGAATGTGGGCTGCGGGAAAAAATGATACGATGTCCAACAACAACTGTTGTCCAAAACCGACCGCGCCCGCTGTTGGGCACGCGTCTTTCCGTTTAAGTGGACACCGCCCGCCACGACGCCGACAGCGAGTCCTGTTCAAAACGGTCAGAGGCTACTGTCGGTGGTCGTCCCCATTCTTTCCGTACCCATTTCGGCCGTCCAGAGTCCCCCTGGTTCGCTCGACGACGGCAACCACCGCCGCCGCAGCAATGCCCGCGGCCAAGACCACAGCGAACACGACGACCATGACCACGACGACAAGGCTGACGAGGACCACGACGACAAAGCTTACGAAGACGACGACGACGACGACGACGATGATCCGCTGCCAGGAAGGCGTCCTCTAGCTCATACTCTCCCCTCTGGCGACGACGGGGGCCTGACTTGCCGACTGCCCCAAAGAGGCGAATGCAGCGTAGTCCGTCGCACCCAGCGAAAAGAGAGCGACTGGCCAGAATTTGCCTCAGCTGCAAGATGGCGCCGTCGACGACGCCGTCGTCACCCTCAACACTCGCCCGCCAGAGCTAAGGATCTGCATGAGAAGGGTCCTCGCGTCACTATGCCAGTTGAGTCTTGCCACCAGATTGCGGATGGGTGGGTGGGTGGGTGGGATTATTGCTCGAACACTGCAATTGACGACTCCAACATGTTCCAAACTCAACTGTAACCAATCGAGTATACCACATATGCTGCACCATTAAGTTTGCAACGCATGGATTGCACCACATAGGTTGCACCCATGGGTTCCACACCAAGCACCGGATAAGGTGCACCCAAAAGAGTGCACCACACGGATTGCACCACATTGAATGCACCACATGGTTGGCAGTCCATACATTAAAACGCATAGCTTGGGCCTCAAAGCTTGCGTCACATTGTTTACACTGCATGTATTACATCGTTGTACACCACTGGGTACACCATATGTCTTGAACCAGTTGCATTGCACTGCATAGGTTCTGGCCTTCTTAAAAATAGTACCGACCACCACCACCGCCAACACCACCACACACCACCCCCCGGGTTCATAGCCCCCACCCCCGGGATGGTACAATTTACATACGACTCTGCCCCATGGCTCTTTTCTTAATGAACTCATTACGTCCAGACGGGTGCCGTTAACGCCATCACCTCATCCACCAAGTATCACGTTGCAGGCACACCCGTTTATCAAAAATCATACAGGTCCAACAATCCGTTGAAAAAAGGCATGGCGAAATTGATACGTGCGCGTCGTCGCGCGCGCATGCCGAAACTGCTCAACCAAACCCGTGTATTTCGTTTGTGTTCCAAGCTCGCGTTCCCCGGAACATTTGTATACATATATGCATACAGAGTATAGACATATGTATATGTATACAAACATATGGCGGCGTTGTGACAATTATGATCAAAAAACTGCGCACGCGTTTTTGCGACGTCGTGGGAAAGGCATCGGTGCCTCAACCTCTTCGCGGCCAAGCAAGTCTCTCGCGCGCGCATGTTGGAATCATTCAAGCGCGTTGGCGCACATGCTGGGGAGCACTACAAGTCCTTTCAAATAATACAATGCGGGACATCCCCCCGCGTCGGCTGCGAGCGCATGTCGAAATCCCCCCACAACTTCCATCACCGACACGTGGACACCATCATCGTCATCAGCCTGACCAGCGTCGGCGCCGTCGTTGGCCTTGCCGACGTCGTCAAAACTATCGACACATCATCGTTACTATCATCGCGCGTCAGCTCGGCCTGCGAGACGTGCTGGGAAGTCCCCAAAGGTCAACGACAAGGCGGGCGCGTCGGTCGCGCCAAACTTGCTGGCCGCTCTGCGCGAGAGCATGCGCGCGCTAGCGCGGCGGCAGCGATGCGCCAGCCAGCACCAAGCAATCATCGCAATCGCCGCCGCATGGGCTTTGCAAACCAAGCTGCGGGCGCTTGGCTGGGATGATTGCGCGAGCAGTGGAGTTGACAACTTCCAGTTCTGCAGAGTGAATTGCAGCCAGTAGGTTGCACCACATAGAGTACACATCGGCAGTGGAAGAACCCACCACTCTGCACTTTCCAGCTCAAGAAGGTTCCGAGATGTACCCCAGAGGCGTTTCAGAGAATGCGAAATGCCCCCACGAGTCCCCACTGGTCGCCCCCATTGGGGGGCCCTAGTGCAATGCCTGCTACCACAAGTGAATCTGAATATGAGTGAGCCTGGCATGAGTGAGTCTGAGCGACGATTGAGTCTGAGCGATGGGCAAGTCTGAGTGAGTAAGAACGCGCCTGAATGTGAAAACATCTGAGTCTGAATGACTGAGTCTGGGTGAGTCTGGGTACGAGAAGTTATGGGCATGAGTGGGTTGAGTGAGCCTGAGCCTGAATGAACATAAATACAGACGGATCTGGATATGAGCCTGAGTTCGGGTATGACTCAGTCTGAGTATGAGCAGCCGAGGGTGATTCGCGCATGATGACAAGCTGGGTGTTGGAAAGGGGAGCCCGGAAGGAGGAGGAAAGAGGCGGAAGCGTGACACGAATGACGAGGATTATATTTCTCGGCCCTGGGAGAGCACCGAATTCTAGGAGAACTCACCCTCGGAGACCTCGACCCCGTCCTTAGAAATACGTCCTCGGGGCGGATCGGTCCAGGAGGGCCCCGGGGCCCGAGACGGGGTGACACCCTGGTCGGTTCGGTGTTGTTGTTGTTGTTGTTGTTGCTGCGCCGGGCGTGCGGGGCCTGTCCCTGGACGCAAGATCTTTGCCTCGCCATCGCTCGGACGTCCCTTCCCTGTGTTTTTTCTTCGGTTTCGTGCGTGGTTTCTTCGCCGAATGATCCAGGATGCTCCTCGATTGCCCCCGCCGAAGGAAAAATGCACACGTCCGAGCGATGCCAAGTTGCGGCAGCGCGGTGAGGGGGCGCACGCTCCTGCTGATGCGACCAGCGCCGCGCTGGCCAGCAGGGCGCCGAGGCGAAGGGCCGCGCCGGCGCGAACCTGCGAGGATGCTGCTGTGGCGAAAACCTCGGCAGGGCCAGAGGCAGAAGAGGAGGGAGAGGGGGAGAGGGAGGGGGGGGTCCACCTCCTGGCACTGGCGCGCCTGACGATGGCTCGCCAGGCCTGCAAATCAGGCAAGGGGCAAGCACCTTAGACACAGCCATCGTGCTACCAGAAGGAGCGCTAAAAACCAGAAGGGGATGGGCTTTCCTGGCCACAGCGAACCTCGGCCACCAATGAGCCACCAATGGGCTCCAAGCCAGAGCCCCTTCCTGAGCCCGAAGTCATTCCCGCTTCGGCGCCTTGGCTGTAGCGAGTGCGCGGTGGGGGGGGAACTGCGACGCACGCGTGCTCCCCGACCACAGCACTGAGGCTCGACGGCCGCCGGGAGCGGCGTGCGACACAATCCACTGCACCGCCCTGCGTCGGAGAAGCACAAGTGTCTGGGAGTATGAGCATGAGTACGAGTAAGAGTACGAGTGTGAGTAGGAGTAGGAGTACGAGTACCAGTACGACTCCGAGTATGAGTGCATGAGTAGGACCATATGGCGGAGTCGGCGAACACGCACACTACGTGACGCATTGCAGCTGGTGGCACGAAGGTAGGATTACATCCACGATGGTCAGACACGCCCAGCCCAGGTGTGAAAGCCCCTGCGCATGACGAAAGATCTCCCTGCGCTTTACGCGTCTTGCCCCCGCCTCGAAAGCTGGGGCAGCGGCGAGCAAAGAAGGGCGGGGCCGTCGGGCACCCTTTAGAGGCCTCCTATGTGGGGTCCGAGTAGATAGGGTCGGAGGATCGCGCCGCATCGCCAATACATCGGCGATGCATCGGCGATACATCGGCGACATCAGCGATGCATCGGCGCCATCTGCGTGGAGAAAATCCCACCACCCCCGAAAAAAAACTTGATGAACGTGGGCATGCGGACTGTGGGTATTTTTTGGGTCGCCGCGAAGTCGCATGAAGGCCATCGGGTCAGATTCGTGCCCTGTTCAGTTATGAGACCTCATTGGGGCCATCTTGGGATCGCCTTGAGGCCATGGTGGGAGCTTGGGGGCACATGGGGCCATCATCAGGTCGTGGCGCCATGTCTGGATCATCTTGAAGTCACGAAGCCGCTCTGAGAGCGACGCGAGCCCTCTGCCCCCCCGTCCAACGTTGGCGGGGGTGGCCGCCAAACCCAAAAAGTCCGGTCAACTTTGGATCGGGGCGGAGGGCGGGGGTCCAAGGCTGAGCCGCTCATCGCGTTTGAACCGTGCCCTCGCCCTCTCTCATCCCTAGATCCCATCAAGTGTTTTTGTTCGGGGGGGTTACAGGGCTCCACATCGAGCCGCATCGCCGATGCATCGGCGATGCGGCGTCATCCTCCGACCCCATCTACTCCGACCCCACTTGGGAGGCCAAGAGCCTGCCGAAGGCTGCGGGCCTCTCAGAAGGGAACCCCCTACCCGCCAGTCGGAAGAAGTGGGCAGAAGCAGGAAGCAGGAAGGCGGGTAAAGCAGATTGGGCCCGGGCCCGCCCGGGGAACAGCCAGAAACAACGAAAACAGATCGACTCTTGAAGTAGGACGGCGCTTGAAGTAGGTTGGGATCTGGGAATCCAAAAATCGGCGGCGAGTGAGGGGAGAAAGTGAAAGGAGAAGGCCTTCTCAGAAGGCTTGGAGGTCCCCCAGCCTTCTGCGAAGTTGCTTAACCCTTCCCCGAAGACACTGAAAACTTCTCGGAAGGCGCGAGGCCTTCTGAGAAGTCCCGCCGTCTTCTGAGAAGGCATTATCCTTCTCGCTTCCCCCCCTTCGCTCGCCGCCGATTAGAAGGAGGATCTGATTTGGGAGGGTCCGATTTAAGCTGTCTTGGGAGATTCCAGAGGGGTCTGGGCAAAAGGGCGCCCTTTCATGGCTGGTCTGGGGGGTCTAAGAGGGTTGTAGCGCCCTCCCTTTTGTGATCCCTTCCCCCCGTCGCCCTGGGGCACTTCTAGAAACACCCGAATGGTTTGCAAAGGGTGTGGTTTGCAAACAGCACTCTGGGGGGCAGGCGAGGACCCCGATAGAGTTCTCCGCCGCGCCCCGAGGCGGCCCGACGAGGACAGCGTCGTGACCCGCAGGCCCCAACAGCGCCTCCACAGGGGGACGCTGATCCTGGGTGTTGGCAACCTGTGAAGCCCGAATCTGAACCACCATCACCGAGATCGGGATCATGTTCCCTCGGTGGGGGCACAACACCGATCACAATGTTGTTGCCAATCCCCAGGCCGCCGACCTTTCGCCTCCTGCGAACCCCCAGCGCCCTCTGAAAAACGGGCGCCCTTCTTAGGGGGCCGCATACGAACCCTACCCCTACCCCCCACGATTTCTGAGGGGGAGGGGGGGGTCCACTTCGTTCGGGAGCTCCAGAGCGAAATCTTAAAAACTGGCAACAGCGTCACAGATGGAGGCCGGGCCGCTTCCAAAATGTGGCTCTCGTCTGAGCGCCGCTCACATTCGTTTCGAAAAAAAGCAAGAGCTCACCGGATTGAGGGCACGTCGTTCTCAAGATGTGGCTCTCGCCTTAGCACCGCGCATATTCGTTTAAAACTGTGCAAGAGCTATACGGATTGAGGGTGGGTGGTTTTCAAAATGTGACTCTCGTCTTAGCGCTGCGTACGTGCGTTTTAAAACTTTGAACGAGCTTCACGGATCGAGGGCGTCTCATTTCCAAAATGTGTTTATCGCTTAGACGCCACGCACATTCGTCTTAAAACTTGACGAAGATATCGCGGATTGAGGGCGGCTCGTTTTTGAAAATGCGGTTATTGAAAATGCGGTTATCGCCTGAGCGCCATGCACACTCGTCGTCAAAGTTTGCAAGAGTTTGACGGCTTGAGGGCGGCGCCTTTTCAAAATGTGGCTCTCGCCTTAGCACCGCGCACAATCATTCAAAAGTTTGCCATAAGTTCCGATGATCCTCATAGCTAATGTACCAGAAACTGTGCTCTGAAACGCTTCAGGATTGTCAGGGCGCAACAGCTACGGTGCTCTGCCACGATTCAGGATCGTCAAGACGCAACAGCCACGTTGACTCGTGGCGTTGAAGTCACGAGAATGGTGTTTTGGCACGCTTCAGGATCTTCAAACGGATGTCTCCCAACGGGGCATTTCCCTGTGGGCATGAATCCTTATAGGGGCCTATGAAGAGGGAGCTTGGGGTAATGGAAGATCCCAACATCATTGTGAAGTCTTGGGTTTACACTGGTCTTCCTCCTCCTCCCTCTCTTTCTACTCCTCTTCCTCCTCATCCTCCATCCCCGCTGGGTGCAGTTTTGCCACGTTCTTGGCGCGAATGTGCTTTGCTGGGCCCCATGGATATTTGGACGGGAAATGTTCCTGTGTCGTTGCATAGGTCGTAGACGACCTCCTCCTCCTCCTCCACCTCCTCCTCATCCTCCTCCTCCTCCTGTAGCCGCACAAGTGCAAAGCCAACCTCATGAAGGAAATGAAGGCTGTCGCCAGCCTGCTCAGCGCGATCCACTGCAAGCTGGAATGCACGATCGCGGTGGCCAAGCCTGCAGTCCTGGCATCCGACGTCTAAGTCCACAAGAAAATATTCCACACGGTGGAAAGGTATGCAGGTTCAGCTCCAGCCCATGCTGTTAACCTGGGAGTTGCCTTTGGCGATGGACAGGAGCGAGGCAAAATAATGGGCGCTACTGAGCTAAGAGAAGGGCACAGAAAAATACAGGAAGTGGTATCCAGGATCCGAGCCGTTCATCGAGCTGGAGCAAAACACGCCTGAGCTATATAACACTGCGTGGACAAGCTCAGTTTCATGGGGGTGGATGATGTGGAGTCAACCGTATCCAGGAAACGCGCCCTCAACATTGCTGGACCAGGAATCAGCACGATCTCTACTTTGCTGCGCCTGTGCCTTCTGGGGGATCCCTGCTGGAGGCCTGAAGTGGGCCCTACACTAGTGTGGCCTGTGCTCGTCTGGAGGGCGATGATCGGCGACTTTGCGCCACGCTTCAACCGTCCAGCTCTTCGAGCGATGGCGGCAAGTAGTCTTGATCAGCCGCCCAAAGAAATGGATTCTGTGCATGTGGGGGGGGCCTGAGGCTGCTGTCTTGAGCACAAAAAGGCGTGGATGGACAGTCACAGGACCATTCACGATGGCAAATCAGAACGGACAGTTCCGGCTACAACAAGCGTGGCAGCGGTAAGTCAGGGTACAGCTGACGAGCAAGCTGACGTTATGCGACCGTGGCACAGGAAATTATCAAGTCTTACCTTTTGTCAGAATCAGGGAAGGTCATCCTCAAGGCCTTCCTCACGCAAAGTGTTTGGACGCACGAGTGCGTGGGGAAAGCCGAACACCAAACGGAGCCCCAATGTGCTTGTGGACACGCGGCACATGATCTCTATCATAGACTCGTGAAGTGACCGACTAGTGAGCCCCTTAGACGGACAATGTTCACCGAATTCGGGATGGAACTGCTCAAGGACCTGTCCAGGTGTCCGTTCCAGACTTGCTTCTTGTCTGTTGGGCCCCCTGCAGGGCTTGGGATCGAAGACCTGAGGTGTTGGAGCAAGGAAAACAAATCCGTCCAAGAGATGGTGAAAGGCAACGTGTATCCTGACGGGTCCTGCCCTAAGCAAGGGTATCAAGCTGTTCCTGCAGCAAGAAATGATGATGTGGTGATTGACGAGCAAGAGGAACTCCTTTGAGCGACGCATGGGGCAGTTGGCCTGTGTTTCTCGCAAGCCTCACCTCGGCTGGGCATCTTGCTGTGCGTGCTGCTGCCTCATCTGCCGCTCCTCACTTAATCACATAGGCGATCACTGATTATCAAAGCAGTCTAGACGTGTAAAATTCGTTCGAACTCTTACAAGAACTACAGGTGCGCTGGTGTTCCCGTGCTCGGCCAAAAGTAGCAGGTGTGGAATGATAAGGTTGAAGGGGTGAAGATAAAGGCGCATCAAGACGTGGAGCGCTTACCTCAAGGCTCTCATGACTGGCTAGATGCCAAAGGGATCTAGTATGCCAATAAGTACACCAAGATAGGTGCGCAACATGTGTGTGTGTGTTGCGTCCGTCGGCGTCGAGGCTGCCGATAGCGACACCAAGCGTTTGAAACAGAGGTCGGCACATGGTGCAGAGAGTCCCAGCTTATGGGAGCTTGTCGGTCCAGCCACAAGTAAAACAGTTTTCTCAAAGCGCGACAAGGGTGCGGCCCAGCAAGTCGAAACTGAAGCGCGGAGTGCTCTTGTGACCTGGCAGCAAGATGCCCCCTACACACCTCCTGACCCAAAATCTGTCCCTGCCCCCTGCTTTCAGCATGCGTGAGAGTGGGGAAAGAACGGGACGTGGATCTGTGTTGTTTGTAGATGCAGGTGCGCGCCAACCAAGCTCGAGGCCAGGCGCGATGAAGCCTGCCCAGGTGTGCACCTGCAGTTCACGGAGATCGCGGCCAACCCTCAAGGCCGTCTCCTCTATGCTGCCCACCCTGACAGAGGCGATAGTTTCTTGATTGCATGTGCTAATTGTGGCAAGTACAGTGAACCGAATGCGAGCAGTTTAGGAGGGCAGTGTGGAAGAAGGCTCGATCGCCAAGGAGATCGGATCCAGTGGAAACTGTGTTACAAGGGCAAGCACCCCAAGACATCCTTTTCTACTCCTTCCGCGAACTGAAGCCCTCCTGAGGGACTGTCGAATGTCCTCGTCCGACCGCGAGCTGGTCAGACCCAACAGGAGGACTACAGGCCATGGGGTGGACGCACCGCCCCCAATCACGTGATGCTCCTCCTCTTCCTCCTCCTCCTCCTGCTCGCACCTCTTTCTCCTCTTTCTCCTCCTCCTTCTCCTCCTCATCCTCCTCATCGTCATCAGCAGCAGCATCAGCATCATCATCAACAACAGCATCATCATCATCAGCAGCATCATCATCATCATCATCATCATCATCATCATCATCATCATCATCATCATCATCATCATCATCATCATCATCAGCAGTAGCATCATAAGATGTATCAGCATCATCCTCATCATCAACCTCATCCTCCTCCTCCTCCTCCTCCCGTTCCTCCTCCTCCTCCTCCTCCGCTTCCTCCTCCTCCTCTTGCGATTCCTCATCCATCCTCACCCTATTGGGGCATCTTGCCCTTTGCTCCACTGCATGATCCTCCACCGCCATGATCAGGGCAGCTCGCCTGGGCATCATTTCTGGACTGGTGGGGTCAAGCGAAGCGTCTAGAATTAGATTCTCCTTGTCGCACACCCAGACGTGTCGGTAGGGCGGGCTGGGCGTTTCGCCTGAGACTTCCTCAAAATTGTGATCATGCCGCTTGAAATTGCATCAGCTTCACGGATGGAGGGCGGCTCGTGTTCAACATGTAACTATCTCCATAGCGCCGCGCACATTCGTTATACAAAAAAGTCGCCACACCTTCACGGAAGAAGGGAGGGCGGCTCATTTTCAAAATGTGGCTCTCGCCTTAGCGCCGCCCACATGTTTCCTCAAAGTTTGCACCGCCACCGCATCCGCCTCTGCCTCCGCCTTCATACCCTTGCCTTATCAATAACTCCTGATTGTCGCACCCCGAGGCCGGTCAAAAGGGCGGGCCGGGCGTTTCGCCTGAGGCTTTCTCACCATATATGATCCTGAAGCTTGAAACTTGCAACAGTTTCACGGATGGAGGGCGGGCGGTTTTCAAATGTGCCTCTCGCCTCATTGCCGAGAACGCTTGTCTTACAATTTGCTGCAATTTTCACGGATGGTGGGCGGGCGGTGATCAACAAGTGGCTCTCGCCTTAACGCCGCGCACATGTGTCTTAAAACTTCGCAAGAGCGTCACGGATGGAGGGCAGGCGGTTTTCAAAAAGTGGTTCTCGCCTGAACGCCGCGCACATTCGTTAAGTTAACAACAAATTCAAGAGTTCGTACAGTTGAAGTCCCAGGAATGGTGTTCTGGCACGGTTCAGGATTGTCAAGACGCAGCAGTCACGTGCATTCGCGACAATGAAACCACAAGAATTGTGTTTTGGCACGATGGAAGATTCTAACACGGGTGTCTTTCAACGGGTCACTTCCGCAATGAAGATAACTCTTCAGGAGACCTATGAAGAGGGACCTTGCAGGGAGGGTGTATTGCAACATCGCTTATGCGCCTTGGGCGTACACTGGTCTTCCTCCTCCTCCTCCTTCTCTTCCTCCTCCTCCTCCTCCTCCTCCTCCTCCTCCTCCTCCTCCTCTCCTCCTCCTCCTCCGAAAAGAGCGCTCGGGCAAGGTCAGGCGAGCGCAGGAGGGAGACCTAAAAACCGGGTTCGTGAGACTCGCACTGACCCGACGGGGCCGTCAGGAAAATAACGAGACCCAGCATGAAATTTGACGCGAGCTCCCGCGACAAACATCCCACGAAAACTGGACCGTCTAAATGCAAGGCGGGCCCGCCTAGGCGCGTAGGCAAACCAGAGTTCCGACAAACTCGAGTCTTACGTTTCCCTGCTTCTTCCTCCTCCTCCGCCTCCCTCTCCTCCTCCTCCTCCTACTCCTCCTCCTCCTCCTCCTCCTCCTCCTCCTCCTCCTCCTCCTAGGAGGGCGCCTCCAGCAAGGCCAGGCGAGAGCAGGAGGAATCTGAAGGACGCATTTCCACTGCAGGGTTCCAGCATGGGCCTGGATCAGGCCCCGCGCGGCACCTTCCAAGGACACGAGCCAGAGGCCCGCAGCGCTGCCACCCGGAAAGGGATAAGCTGACCGACTGGCGGACCCCGACGTCCGCCGGCATTCTCAATATCACCTGAAAAAGAGCATGAGCGCCTGGACCTCTCGGGCGCTGAGCCTGTTGGGAGCGCATCTCCAGAGAGGGGGTGCACCCACAGAGCAGCCCCTATCCAGGGTTGTCAAGAGCCGCTCCCTCTCACCCTCACTCTCATGATCCTCCTCCTACTGCTGCTCAATTTGGCCGCTGGTTCGGGCCGCCTCCACGTTCTGCGAAGCTTCATTCGGCATCTGCGGGGGCACTCACGAGCGTATCCCGTGGCCAATCCAAGGCCGTCAGGAAAATCCTCTTTCTACTTCTCTCCTCTTCCTCCTCCTCCTCCTCCTCCTCCTCCTCCTCCTCCTCCTCCATCTCCATCCTCCTCCTCCTCCTCCTCCTCCCTCCTCCTCCTCCTCTCCCTCCTCTTCCTCCTCCTCCTACTTCTCTTAGGCCTCCGCATCCGCCTCAGTCTCAGCATCGTTGTCTCTGAGACTACAGCAGAGCCGTAGATTGTCCCAAACGGCCCTGCACAGTTTCGGACCCACGTGCCTCCAAGACAAAACAGCCCAGGACCAGGCCAAGACAGCCCAAAGACGGTCCTGTCCTTTCCAGACGGTTCCAAGATAACTCTTTAGCTGATCTTTGAAAGAGATCGGGGGAACCGTCGCGCCCAAGACGGCCTGAGGGCGCCCTGAGGGCTCGCGGAGGCGCTGCAGAACCAGGGTGTCACCATGGTAGAACCATGGTGGACTTCTGGGAGCGGTTGCGGAACGAGCGTTCCGCGGGCACCTGGATAAACTAGACAACCTGAGTCAAAGGTCGGGAACCGAGTCTAGATGGTTCATTTCTATGTCCACTTGAACTGGTCCTATCATACAAGCTGTAAACACCTATATATATATATATATATATATATATATGTATATATACTGTTTCGCCCTCAAGACGATTTGTGCCGCTGGAAGCCGGAACGTGCCTGCACCAGCCGCTTTATTGCAACAACATGGTGTCTCTCTGTTTTCCTCTCCCCCTAAATAGCATGGCGCAACTGCAAGATCATCCAAAATTCACGTCCCCATCCAATATCTCTTCCCCCTCCCCGTCACGCGGCCGCACTTTCCGCAAGAGAGCCCCCTTCGCAAGATCGGTGCGCTCTAAGGCTGGGGCCGCCATGCTTGTGCTGAAAATACGGGGATGAAAAGGTGAGCGCCGGGAAGGTTAACCTGCTGACGGGCAGCCCCTCCGCTCAGCCATTCCACACACTGTCCCACGCGATAAGCCGGATCGGCGATCGAAATGAATCGGATCGGCGGGAATCGGCAGCCAGGTCAGGAGAAGCCGCATCGGCGGAACTCGGCAAAGGCCTCCATTGAGAAACCGAAATCCAAATCGGAATCCAAAGTCGAATCGGATCGGAATCGGAACCGACCGAAACCGAATCGAGTCGAGTCGGAGTCGAGACGAGCCCTGCGCACCGTCCCCCGGAAACCCACCCTGCACCGCCCCACCGGCCGATCGTAACCAGTCCAAGCCTCTGGTTGATGTTGACGATCCTCCTTCTCCTCGCATCCATATCAGACACGGTTCCAATCATTTTCCCATGAAGCACCATCCCAAGACCAACCACCACTCAAGCGGCAACTGACGCCGTGACACCACTCACACTGACACTACATTTGATAGCGATGCCGTGACGGAGGAGGGCGGAGGAGCAACGGAGAAGGAGGAATACAAACGAGACAAGCGAACTAAACCAGGCCTCACATCGAGGATAGGCTGATACATCAAAAATTGACGTCATACGTTGGCGCGATGCCACGGCCAGCTGAAAATGCTCACGAACAGGAGATGCTATAATCGAGACGAAAATCGATCGGACATCACCAACGTACCTTGGACACGATGAGACCACAACAGCAACAGACAGGCCGTATCGACCAAGTAGATGCACCAACACTTGCTTTACACACGGCGCCACTTGAGATCCTATTGCACTCAGTAGCTAACAAAATCTAAAGGCGAGGCACACGCGCGCATGGCACCAGCTGAGCCGCCCAGCGCGAGCGCTGTGTAAAAGACCACGGATAAGATGCGAGATTGTAGAGCCCCAAGTAAATCGCGCACGCATCCTTCTGCTCCTCTCCCCATGCTTCCCTCTCCCTCCTCCTAGTCTACCCCTCATCATCTTTCCCCTCCACATCCTCCACTGCCCAGATAGAGGTGGTGGGTGCTGGTCGTGGGTGGACATGGTCGAGATGGTCTTTGTCGTCGTCGTCGTTGTTGTGCTGGCAGTGGCTGGTGGGCTTAATGTTGGAAATGACTACTCTCCCTACTTTCCCCGTCAGAGCTGGCATCGCAATTAGCAGCGCAATTCGTCACACCCTCCAGCGTACCTGGCGCAGAGCTGCGCTACCGAATGGGTTGTCTGGTCTCACTGGATAATAGTCGAGGAAAAGCGTGAGCCGAGCACGGCTGCAGGTTGAAGCCAATACGCAAGATTCACGACAGCAATACCGGGATCTGCATGCAAGCATGGAATTGAAGCACACACACACACGAGGAATGGCAATAACTTACTCTGGGAAGGGCAAGAATCGCCCCCCCCCCTGAGTCCGCTGGGGGGGTTAGGCACTTGCTGTCGGCACGGGTGGAGGGGGGTTTGGAGGAAGAGGAGGAGTATGAGGAGGGGGAGGAGGACGGAGGGGGCGGGGTTGGGTAAGCTCAGTGGGGAGGTTAGTAACCCCCCCTGACAAATACCCCATCCAGAGTAGCCCAGGAGCAACGAATGGAGGAAGGCCAAATTGAAGCGCAACACGACAGGAAGCCCCAGATACAGGCGACCTCGAGGCGCGTCCCAGTGCGCGACTGGGCCGGAGCCCCACGAGATCGAACCATCCCTGCACCGTGCACAGCACGTGCCGGGAAGCACCACCGATGTGCCCGGCAGCCTCAAACTCTCCCTCTGATCGGGCCCACGGCCCCTCCTCTCGCGCAGCCCCGACCATTCCGACCATCGCTTCACCTTCCCCCTCGTCGGCCAAGAGACGAAGCCCCTCCGCCGCTCCCCCTCCCCCCCGCCGCTGCACCCCCCTTTGCAACACGAGGAGGCCCCGGCCGCGGCCCCGCTCTGCCTCCGCCTGCCAGTGGCAGGGCGGGCTGCCGCCGCACGGTGCAGCGACGTTAAAGCCGCTCGACCACGCGCCGCCATCGATGCCTCTCCTCCCGCGGGGTATCCTGGCCCCTGGCTCCCCTGGAGCGTGAGCTTTCTCGTTGGCGGCGAGGCAGAGGCAGTCCGCAGCAGCGCGGGGCCAAGCGGGGCAACCGACAGGCGAATTGTCTGGCGTGCCAAGAGAGAGAGGCGAAGACGAGGGCGGCCGCGCGAGGGAAGGAGGGGGAGGACCCTAGAGCGTGAACACGAAGTATTATAGATTCACGGGCGTCTGTTCCGCACGGTGAATCGATCGCATTGCCGGGCACAAGATCTTAACAACGCGCCCAATCGCATGAGCAGCTTCTCGCAGCCATGGTGCGCCCGACATCATCGACAATATAAAGGGCGTGACTGGGGCCCGCCATCACCGAATTGCGTGGGCAGAGATGACACCATTGCGCGCCGCTCAACAACGAATGAACCCCGAAGACGAACTCCTTGAAAACTGATACTGATGACCACGATTTCACCCGTCTGGCGCGGGCGTGCCAAGACATCCAAAATAACAGGACCGACAGGGCTGGTCGAAAAGGATGGCCTGCACAGCACGCACGGCACGTCATGAACGTCACAGCACAACCGACGCGACGCGCGAAGAGCAGCATGGGCAGCGCAGAGCACGTGCACCATAGCACGTCTAGCACGGCACGCGCGGTACCTCACGAACGACACGGCACACTCTGCAAGGCACGGCACGCCCCACGCAATACGACCAGAGTGGCAAAGCACGGTCAGATCAACACGCATGACATGGAACGCGGCACGGCACGCACGGCACGGCGTTCATACCGTGCGAACCACACGGCCACAACTCCACGAAATAAGAAAGCCTCACATCGACCCGTGGCTGGGCTCGCGAACAAACGATGGCCGATGGGCAGCAGCGGAGACAGCGTTGGGAGGACGAACTCCGCGCGAGGATGCGGGGAGAGACGTTTCGTGCCTCGAGCAATCTCCCGCCTGGTGTCGAAGCAGCGGACATTTTTCCAGTGGTAATTCGCCAACACCTTGCGTACCAGCGTGAGAGATACCTGCCGCTCTCCAATGAGCCCATCTTGTCGGCTTGGGAGGGACCAGTGAAATGGGGGCGGGTGGGAGGCAGGGGTAACACAAAATGTGCCTGGGCAAACGCAAGTTCGGGGTGCGACTCTGCCTCTTGTCTTCGTCTTCTGCGTAGTCGTCGGGGATAATCCGGGAAGTCTGGAGGGAGTCTGAGGAAGTTAGGGGCAGAATTCGGCGCTCTGTCTCTTCACCATCCACCGCTTTTGATATCCACACTTCTGGAATCCTGCGACGGGCTGGAATATATCACGAAAAACGCATAAACATGTTGGCCAGCGTGGACCCCAACAGCGCGCTCTAGAATACTGGGTGATGCAGTCTAACTGGTGCAAGCTTTATGGTGTGCAAGCTATGTAGTGGAAACTATGTAGTGCAAGATGCGTGGTGCTCTCTCGGTGGTGTGAACTCTGGTTGTGACATCCGCCGACCCCTTGGGGTCACGGCGTGTGAGATGCTTCCCCCTCCCCAAACCCATCCGCCCGGAGCCCGGCCCCGCCGGCTTAGAAGGGTGGGGGGGGGGGGGGCAAAGGTGCCGGCCGCACCCTTGGAGCCTTAGGGGGCCCAAAAACGGGCCAAGAGGGCCCCAAAAGGCCCCCCGGACGGTCCAAGAGGGCTACGAGTCGCCGAAAGATCGCTCCAAGACGCCCAAGATCGCCTCCAGACGGTCCCAGAGGCCCCCAAGACGCCCCAAGAAGCCACCAAGAGGCGTCCCAAGAGGCCCTCCAGAAACAAAAATCGTCACCTTCCCTATTGAAAACGTATATTTTTGGCACATTCGCCTCTTGGGCTTTCACGGGGCCCACAACGGCCCAAGAAGCCTTTAAGATCGACCCAAGATAGCCAAAGAGGCCCCCAAGGGGGCTCCAAGACGGCCCAAGAGGGCCCCAAGACGGCCCCGAGGGCCCCAGGACGGCCCCAAGAGGAGGCCAAGAGGGGGAACCCGAATGAACATTTCGAGCACTCGGCTCCGAAAAAACCTGAGGAGGCGCCAATAGGCCCCCAAGACGCTCCCACGAGGCCCCAGAGAGGCCCAAAAGAGTCTCTTAGAGGCCTCAAAACGGCTCTCAAGAGTCTGCTGGGAGAGCCCAGAGAAGCCCAAGAGCAGAGCAGCGATCCGCCAACCGCCCCCAACGAAACCCCAAGAAGCTGAAACCCCAAGATTCCCCAGAAATCGTTCCGCAAACTCCGTTGTTCACTCTTACTGCCGCCCCAAGGAGTCGGCGGTGCGGCGTCACCCAATGAATATACGCGGTGCAGTGTAGTTGGAGTGATCTATGTGGTGTAAGCTACGTGGTGCAATTAATTTATGTTCGCAAGGAGGTGTCCACTCCACTGCTCGCGCAGTCATCCCACTCACCAACCCGCAACTCGGTTTTCAAAAGCCATGCGGCGGCGATGGCGATGAGTGCTTGGATGTGGTTGGTGCATCTCTGCGGCCGCGCTAGCCCGCGCATGCTCGCGCGCGCAGCGGCCACATAGTTTAGCGCTGCCGACGCGGCCGCGGTGGCGCTGACCGATGGGCACTTGGGCGGGCGCGGTAGCATGGCAACGTCGACAACGGTAGACGCGATGATTATGGTAGAGATGCTGGCGACGATGATGACAACGACAACGGCAAGGCCAGCGACGGCGCCGATGCTGATCACGCCGACGACGATGACGACGCCCTCGGGCCGGCGATGGTGCACGGAGCGTGCCCAGTCCAGAACGCGCGCAAAGGCGTTCGAATGATTTCGACGTGCGCCGCGAGGGGCCCGTTTGGTAGAATGCAACGAAAATATTGGAGAAAAAAGTTTTCAGAATTCGTCGGGGAGCGAGCGTTGGCATTTTTGGAAAACGGATGTTGCAAAACCATGTGGTTGTTTAGATGTGGCCGCGGCACTCCATGTTGAAATCCATA